TCATGTGCTGGTGTTCCTGCCACACCGGCGCCCAGTAGACAGCCAGGTTTAGCGTGGACGCTAAGTTTAGAAACGCTGTAGGGGAGGAGGAGGGGGGAGAGGGGGGGAAGAGAGGCACAAGCTGGGGTGACGTTGCTAAATGCCGCTTGAGAATGCATGGATTCGAAGTGCCCCCGTCGCCTGCCCCGCCACGCTACAGTCCCCGCAGCTCTGCGATTGCAAATCGTGCGACAAAAGAGCAAAAGGATCGCGGAAGGAATACCACAAGAATGCGAGACAAAGCCACACCGGGAGAAGGCCATCCCTGGAGGACCCAGGAATGGTACGCCGTGGCATCCCTCTCGGAGCCCAGGTCGACGGAGATTGGACCCTCTCTCTCGCACGCCGTGATACGAATGGTCCCCCATCTAGGCATTCCAGTTGCACAAACTTTGCCGCCCTCGAATCCTTTCCGATGGAAAAGAAAATTCAAAAAGTCAGCAAAACTAACGAGCGTGCCACAGAACCCATTCGCGCTTTTAGTTCGACAACGTTCCTCTTCGTGGGGATGGGGGGGATGCCGCCCTCCGTCATCATAAATGTAGTGCGTGCACACACTACTCTACTGTTCCGTGAGTAGAAACTTGTCGAAGATCCCACAGTAATTATATGAAAAAATGACACTGGCCCGCTGTAATCCACGGTTGTTTGACCCTTTTAATCCTGGAGCCACACTACTGCCGTATATCGGCTCTAGTCTAGTTGTGCGGTTGGGCTTCGTTTCGTGTTTTTTTTTAATTAGTAATTGATGCTGTAACTTCTCGGATGAACTGAGAGGAAAGGTCGGTTCTTCCCAGATACTAGAGGTTAACTTGGTTTCATTAGTCAGCAGACAACCCGCACGAAGGCCTCAGTTCGGTGACGCACGAGCCCTGCGATCAGGAAGCCCCAAGTCTGAGCGCCTTAGATATAATCATCACAATTTTCCCACGGAATCTGTTCATTTTTCAACGTCCAGACTGAGAGGGTCCGTTTTTGGCAACGCATCAGCTCTGGTCGCAGCAGGGTCGACGGCCAACGTGACCCTCCGAAAAGCAATGCTAAATCCAGAGCATAGACTCACGGAGAGCTCTATGTGGGCTAGTGTTGGCTCGCGGGAAACTAGTTTTCGAGAGAGTGCCCAGCGTTCCAATGTTAACCCTGCCTCGCTGCCACACGAGGACCTACATCGGAGATATCTCCGTCTATAGCTAGAGGGCTTCGAAGTCCCCGACGCATCAGTGTGAAGATTCTGATGCTCGATCGACACCCCCACTATTTGTGACCTCGCCAGGCTAGAGATGAAATCGTGTGCTGAAATTTCAGCAAGCTCATTTTATCGTTGTACCACGCCGGTAAGCTTGACGTGCTTCAGTCTTGGCAGATTGGAAGCCACGCCCCTCCCTGCCGTAGCTTTCTGGGAGGTACCCAGGAATACAAAAACGCACATCTCCTTGCCATTTTATCCAGATCTTTGGAGGAGATTCGTGGATTTCCGTGAGGCTGACTTTTTTTTCTTGAGAGATTGGCTAATTCTGCCAGTTTGAATCTATTTTAAGTGTTGCCGAGGCTTTGTTACTTTACTCCGGCGGCGTGCAAGAGCTTTTTGGTTTGTTACTTTTTCGGAACTGTTACCCTGGCCTGTGAAATCGGCACATTTGAATCGGATATTGGTGACGGTCGTCTAGGCTTTGTTTTCCATCACGTCGACGATGAGCGATTGTGAAAAGACGGGCATGACGGGAAACTCGCTCAATTGTGTCCTGCGAAGATTGGAAAATGAAGGTCCAACAGATTACAATCAGTTACCCATTCCTAAAGTTATGTTGCATTAACCAAAAAAAGACCAATTGACCACGTCCCCTGCGTGCAAATTCAATGCGAATTATTCAATTTTTCAGTTGCAGTAATGTCGGCTGTTGTTTTCCATGAAGAATTGAATCAAAACAATGCACTGTAGCAGCAGCCTGCCCGATCGATCGCTGCATCAAATCGACCGACCTTTCCAAGGAATTGTTTTGTAAAAGTAGGCTCTGACCTCGTGTGCATATCAATATCACACAAGATTCATTCTGTTCCTTTGAGAAGAAATAAATATAAGTTTTTCCAACTTCTTGCACCTTTGTCACACAACATTGGTGTCCATGACCTACACTGGCAACATTAAATGACATACATGCCTCTATGGATTAAAACAGATAATTCACGTCGCACGAGATTCATCATGTAACTCATAACAGGAAACCACCTACAATACACGAGTCTCATAATGGAAAACTCAACATGTTTTAAGATCAGCACTGATTCCATTATCTACTAAAGTGGCCATGGCAGGTAAGAACATCGGGCAAATAGAGCTCCTCGTCTGAACTTTCCACCTCTCTCCATGATCTCCTTGTAATCCTAATCTCATACACGTTCATAATTACAAATGCGATCAGGGATTAAGATTAGCAACTAAACCTCTAGAATTCCTTTCTCTGCTGCAACTTTGAATGGAAACGGCCACATTTATTCCAAATTCCTAACCTCCCAGCTACTTAGCGTGAAAATTGATCAGGTTGTCAGTGTTTCAGAACCGAGACCATGCAATATTTAGCGGTGAAAGCTTTTGCGAGCGGCTATAAACATGAGATGAATTAATTTCCTGTGTGCTGCGGCCCGAATCAGGACTCGCCCTTTGGGTTCCTTAAGGAAGCCCAAGGATCCTGCCACGATGGCCAAGCCTCTGCCATATTACCTTTTTCTCAGACCCAAAATTGGACCAGCTATGGGAAAAGTGAATTTACAACCTGCCAAGTGGGTCGGAGGACGTGCATTAGCGGGCTTCAGCTTCGCATTAATGGAATTGGCGGAGGGGTTCGGAATTCCTCCCCCGGGCATCGAACATTTGACCCAAGGGTCGGATATGGTGTCGTCAATTTTCACTTCTTTAGGCAGAGTGATCAGATGCCGCTCCTTCACGAGTTTACGTGGCGGGCTAGCATGAATGCACTGGCCCCCAAGGGGAAACCACAGCAAACTTGGCGAGGGCCTAAACTTGGTTTGCTCTGCCGGAATGACGCTAGGGTGCTCCACTTGGAAACTATAATTGACGTAGTAGTAATCACTGTGTACCCCTAGCTCCTCCAACTTTAGCTTCTTCCATGTCCTCTACAGTTAAAAAGTAATTCGTGGGCTTGGATCGTATGCGTTTCTGTGCGTTTTCTGCACTCTCTGCTTCAGTGATTTTCTTCCGTTTCTCCAGCGGAACTTCGAGGTACAGTTGAATACTTGCCCAGGAACCTGGAAACTCCCGCACTTAAAAATCATGTTCTACTGCACAGGTACTTGCGGCACCGTCGAGGCTTTTACCGGCTGTGAGCAGTGTTCCAAGTTTTAAAAGCTTGCATCAGTGTATTTCTTCGTGTCAGGGGGATCACTCCCAGTGAACATAACTTACTTTCCCATCCTTTTAAGACCCCCTTCAGGTGCAATCTTATGAAAATTCGGTGAGAATGACAGGGGGTGGACCCGGAAAATGCTGTTCTGTTACACAAGTGAAGAACATGGAGCACAATGCTCACATAACAATGCGTACTGAATCAATGGGGAGGTTCGAGAAGAGTTATCACAATCACGTGATCGGTCATGGATCATATGTGATGTTGCGATTTCGGGCCAACTTGGTGTGTTCCAGCTCATCGAGCAAGGAATGTGAGAATTTGTGCGCGGGGTGGGTCAACAAGCACGTCATCATCCATTATGTCACTGTATATTTATTCCTTTCCTTCTAGATAACCATTAGTTTCAGAAATGATAGCTATGAAAGATGGATATTTGGTTTACCTCCACGGCTCTCTCCAGATTTTACGATCATGCAGTTCGGCAGGTTGATTGAAACCGGAGAATCATTGAGCTGTGACCACAGATTCAACGCACGTTTGAGGAGGAGCCTGACAAGCACTAATGGGGCGGATGTCTTTACACGGGATGTGGTTTCCAGGAACCCAAATCCCTTGTGACGGTCTTTGCCGCTATGGTCTCAGCCTCTCGACGTCACTGCTCTCACGATATAGATGAGCAGCAAGCAAAGCCCCACCACTACCCACAACACAAAATAAGCTTAGATAACTGAAATAAATTAGTGCAAGATTGAGGAAGCGGATCATATGAACCCAGCAGCATTTCACAACCGGAAGCCTATGGTTTGCAATAACCGAGTTAACTAAATACATCGGTGAACTTGTGAGCTAATGGAGTAATCAACAATCAAAAGTAAGTGATTGGTGGGTAAAGTTGCAGTGGGAATAGTGTGGTATGTATCCACGCGTGTGAATACGGTTTGGTGTATATAGCATATCAGCAAAAGAAATGTTGCGTGTTCTTCATTTTCATCTCTTCATTATCTTCATATTTATTCCTATTTATGCTTTTTATGAGTACGATTTTTTTTTTGTGCATATCATTTTTTGTTCAAGGAGAAAAAAAAAGAAAAAAGAAGAAAAGGGTACTCCGTATTACCTAACAGATTATTCAAAATAACTCAAAACAAAAAAGTATATATATATATATATATATACACATATGTTTTTTTCTTCTATGGATAGATTGAAAATCATAACACTCCCAAGAACATCCTAACATTTTTACTCAGGTCCCATGCTCATAAACTCCAACTCATCAATTAAATTATAAATTATTATTTTGTTAGAATTCATTGCTCATGATTTCCGTGTAATGAATGCTAGGCTGGACACTACAAGCAAACCCCTTATTACAGTTGACTTAGAACCCATATTTCCATCCGTTTCTGTGGCATGGTGTATGCGAAGGACAACAAAATGTCACATTGCACAGATCAAACCAGCAGAGAACGCTTCAATAAATTGACTCCTATTAACTACCGCGCAACTAAATTAAAGAAAGTTGCCAAGTCGAGGGGACCTGGCAACTCAAGGAAAGATGCCATGACTCCTCACAAGGAGGTCCAAATCAAACTCTCACTCCGTCGTGTTAAATTGGTGTTAGTTTTTTCTATGCATTGTAAGCACGAAGGGTTCCCGCTGGTAGATGAGCCCGCCTGGTAAAGCCACGCAGAGGGAGTTCATCCGGAGAATTGACTGCCGCCATGGTGCGGGAGAAATAGCGACCAGTTCCCTCGGGGCACCCACACTGCAAGAGAACTCTATGAGTCCAGTGTTGAGCTGAAGCCCCCCCCCCCCCAACCAAGCCTACGTCCACAGTTCCAAGAGCCTAGACACAAGTCTAGGCGCCGCTCTAGGCTAAGTGTAGCTTGAGTAGGAGGAGGGAGGAGTCGAGGGGAGTGGAGGGGTCGCGGAGTGACATGCGTGCATAAAGAACGACATTATCAACCGACTGCGAATCCACTTTCTCCATCCACGACGTTCTCCTAGTTGTCTGATTCCCGAGACAGATCCCAGACTCATCCCTCACGTTGATGCAGTCTCACCGTTCGGCAGACTGAAACTCGATGCACGGGAGAAAGAGTTTGAGAGAGCGAGAAGGGTAGAAAAGATTCGGCGGCCGTAGTATGATCGCCGTGACTTGTTCAAGGATCGAGATCAGTGTGACTAGTCTAGTGGAGGTAGAGAGAGGCAATCGTGGCGTGTAGAGGAAGTTGAAGTGCAAGTTTGGGATTGAGTGCTAGTGTTGTGTGCTTGGTGCCCAGTACTGTTGCATTAGTCCCTGGTGTTAGTTTCGGGTAGCTCTGAAGTGAGGGATTGGAGAGAGAGGTGGAAGTGGAAGTTTGGTTTCAAGTTGAGAACAGGTATTAGGAGGCTGCGAGTGGCAGGTGAATTTATTGGTGATCACCTGGGGTGATATGGGTATCATGCTGCGGGAGAGAGCTCAAGAGGCGCCCCTGATGGTACAAAAGTGGGGGGGCTATGTCTGCGGGGATCTCCAGCCGGAGCCGCAACTGCCCAGCGGTTGGGAGAAGTGCCTTGATTTGAAGGTGTGCACCAAAGACTTATATCTTGTGGAATTTGTTTCTGGTGACTGAGAGTGAAAGTAGATGGTGGTGTGAAATTTTCCTTGAATCATCGAGTTTTGTGATGATGAGGGTGGCATTGATGTTAGACTACTTCTTCGGGTGATTTGAATATGCAGTTTGGGGCCGATTGGGTGAATAATATGGTGGAGCCGTTTTTTGATTGTGTGTGTTTTTTTCGTGTATCGATCGCAGTCTGGTCTCATCTACTTCAAGGATTGGAACTCGGGAATTCTGACCTACAGAGATCCACGCCAAGCGGTTCCCTCTACTGCGCAGCGCATCGGGTTGTTGTCTATCTCTCTCTCATCTGAAAACGAGAAGGCCGTGAAGTCGTCCAGCAATGCCGGTGAAGAGGTGGGCAAGAAGTTTAAGCGGACTGCAAATACTGCTCAGGAAGAGCAGCCAGCGGGGCGCGCGTGGGCACTAACTACGGCACAGATAGTGAGCGACTCCGATTCTTCAGACCGCGAGACCACTTCCATGAGCATGGACGAAACAAACGACCAGTCTCTGGAATTGACGCTCAACCTGCCAGGAACAGCTATCAGGCCCTCGTCCTCCAACCAGGAGGACAGCGTATGCACCATGGAGAAGGTCCGCAGTGCTCTTGAGAGATCTCAGTGGCTTAAACCCCCGCAACATCAGAAGAAGAGAGCCGCTTGCAGCTCTGGAAACAACATCTCCGAAACTCTCTTCACGGCACTTTCGCTCCTGTCTCCACGGCCCTCATCCTCTCTAGAATCCAATTCACTCGGGCTACAATACTCCACATGCTCCAAATCTGCGTCCCCATCCACATCCCATTGCTCCTCCGAGGGCTTCACGTCGCCCTCCGTCATGAGCCATCAAGGTACCGTCAGTTCACAAGCTCTAAGACTTCTCGTTTCGCGAATCTTGACGGGTTTGTGCATCGTTTGTGGAATTGTTGGAGTTAATTCTGGAAGTCTCACGATTTTGTTTGCATTTCAGGTGACGAGGAGGAGGTGCAACAGCCACGCACTTGCGGAGACGTAGGTGTCAAGAGTCAGGTTGTACCTGAGAAGTCTGAAACCCTCGCGCATGCAGAAGTGATGGTGACTGTGGGATGCAAGAGCTGCTTCATGTATGTGATGCTGTCCAAGTCGCACCCTAGCTGCCCCAAGTGCGGAAACGCCGACGTGCTCCTTGAGCTCCCGTCTACCATATACCCCTCATTGCCCAAGAAGCAACGAATAACGCTTGACAGTCCTACTTGGAACTGGTGCTCTGCTTGAGTTCACACCTTTCGCTTCAAAGCAGTCATAACCATTCTACTCTGATCCCTGATTTCATGAAACTACCAGTTGGTGAATACCTATCGAATTCGAGAGCGGATTCCAGCATCCACAGCCAGATTATGCTGAGAGAGTTAATCAGTTCCTGGAGTATAGAGCACAACGGATAAAAACTGAATTCCTCCTTGACATGGATATCTCTTTGCAGTTGCTGCCTCTCTGCGGACTCTTTGGGGGTTGTAGTGTTTACTGATCACTGCAGGTCGAGCTTGCACGGAAGTCTATGCAGTTGGCCCTCAATATGTCACATGCAGACTTGAGGCTACTCTTGTGGGAGCTTGACAGCGTGAAACTATGCCAGTTTCCGATATTTGTACATTAGTACTCATTATAGGAGATGATGTTTGCGTTCCTATCTTAGACTAGACAGGACCGACCAAATTGGTCGATACAGGAGTTTTAGATACTTTCAGGTTCTCAGCTTGAGTGATGAAAAGTTCGAGGAATTTAAATGTAGGCATATTCTTTTAGGCTGGACGATTGAAGCCAGACAATACAATTGAACACAACTCTGTTCAAACTTTTCTTTATCTCCCAGCTTTCACACATCTAGCATGCTTCTCTTTCGCCGTGATTCTTCATTTTGGCTTTCTGGATGATAGAAGATTTAATTGCGATGCTATGTTTGCATCCTTGTCACCCTGTAAACAAAATGCCCTTGAACCGCGAGTTCACGCTGCATGCGTACTTATCAAGCATGATTATCAATAACTGGCAAGGGAACAGCGATGCAATACGTATGATTCTGTAATCGTCTCTTTCTTTGTATGATTGCTTGCTGTATGCCAATGGCATTGGATGGCTGCACTCTCGAAGGTAGTGGCAGATGTGAAGAGCATAATCACTCTTCACAGAAACTAGTAATCTGGGGAGTGTGAGATATGAGGACATGGCATGTGCAGGCAACAAACCTCTGAACAGAAAATGTACGTTGAAATATTTGCTGGACGTGACCCTGTTAAGCTCTAGCTGTGTCCCATGTCCACCGCGGCGTTACTATCGTGTACCTGGGGAGGGCGACACTCGAATCATTGATAGTGATGGGTTTGACATATTCCTTCACGCTCAGTCAATGACTGCTGAGGCTGAACCTTGTAATCCATCGCCTCTTCGTGGAACATGGAAGTCATCTCAGCGTCATGGCTGAAGTGGCTGCAATCTCCTTGCCTCGCAGTTCCTTTTCAGTTAAACATCTTCATTCCTTGTAAATGTACTTCTCGAAGGTTTTGCATCAGCCTTTCAAGTATCGCACCTTGCGACGTGTACGCTCGACGTTTCGTATTTTATTGATTGTAGAATAGTTCGAGTGGTGATACTGCAAGGTTTACAAACAAATTAACAAGTTGATGGCCGGAATTAGTCATCAGTGTTGGCTTTTGTTAAGTGTTGAAGCTTTCATTGCGATTTCACTCCTGATTGTGGCTTTTTCTTTTAAGAAGAGTGGAGTGAAGGAGATTGGAACAGGATTCATTGCTATGATTCTGCGTTGTTAACAATGGGTTGTGTTGTCGTTACAAATCCAGATTTGGTACAACATGCTTCAACATCGTCAGAGTGCATAACGAGATGCTTCTCAAGGGTGTGCTTCTCTGTGATAACGAGTAAGATACAAATTCTCTGCAAGCGATCTCTACCGACAACTCTTCAGGGAGAAGCTTTATTTGCTTAATCCAGCTATTTGATGTTCTGCATGATTCATACCGGGAGTTGGCTTCTGTGGAGGTACGTGTACATTTACCTTTTATGAACTAAAAATTATGTGGATCTCGGTGAATCCCACTGAAACAAGGTCGAGAACCTCTTCATATACAAAACTAAGTCGGTGTTCCATCGCATTCAACTCAGGCATGAGTTCCTGACCAGTGCACATCACCACATGGATGCCCATGGCCGTGTTGGTTCGCTCTTTAATCAACTCGTGATCATCACTTCCGTCCTTTCATGAAAGTAGTTGACTGATCAGAGCAACCTGTGGCCGGCCATGGCCGAATAATGGCATGGATTCACTCACCCAGATTTCCTCTTCCATATCAGAGTGGGTAGCAATTACTCCCTATTGTAACACTTTCTACTCTCGCAAGTATCCATCACTTTAAAATTCCAAGTTTTGTTCGAATTCCAATCCAGCTTGACAGTCCTTGGCCGGAGAAGTCGCCCAAATTTGGTGCGGAATAATGCTCGTTATCATCTACCCCTCGCATTTTTATTAGCAACATCTCCTTCAATCATGGGCTAATCTGATTTTCGGCCAGTTGATGGAACCCACCCGATCGTCAAGGTAAGACTTGATTCCACGCCCTGGCTGTGAACCCTTACCCCCCCCCCCCAAAACCCTAGGACATCTTTATCAATCGAAGGTTTCGTGATTATGTCGGAGTTCAGCGTCACGATAGGAGGAGGGTCTTCAATGAACTCCAACGTCGCCATAAGGGAGCAATTCATGGCGATTAAATAGAACTCCTCGACAGTAATTCCACGATGTGATCGACCATCTGAGACTTCCGCTATTCAGGAAACAGGGAAAGCTTGCAATTCACCACCCAAGCCATCACCGAGTCGTAACCCCTTACTACGTGGTACCGCGGTTTAATTCACAACAAGAAGCGATTGATCTCATCAAGTCTTGGAAGTGAATATATTCAGCCCCGAATTCCCAGCAGACTCTCATTCATTCAACGTCCCCCTCGGAGCGTAAATGGCAACAGGAGGGTAGTGGCAGCTATCCCATCGGCTCTTGAAGATGGACTCAGGCAAGATGCACGGCCGCTGCCTAAATTACACCAACGAACATCAGCCTTCACTAGATTAGTAACACCGCTTTGAATTACCCCTTTATTGCGTGACTTTGCTTCACGATAATAATGTTCTCCCACAATCACCACCAGGTCCCCCCCCCCCGTCCACCTTCATTACAGAGTTGGTGAACTTGTCATTTCAAACCGTTTCCTGCGTAATTGCTGATTGCTTGCTGTTCGTTGAGATCGGTGTTGCTCTGTATCGCAACAGGAAAGGGGCGCAAACGAGGAGCAGCAGCAGCAGCTACTGACCCGTATCACATTTTGGTGATGACCCAGCTTCAATCTTATGAATGCTTGAGAGGCTTATCTCCCTCTCTCCCACAGTATGCCATCTCCACATCGACTAAACATTCTGCCGAAGGGCGACGACACTGCTGCATCATCGTGATCATGCCCGCGACTGATTATCAAAGTGGTGGCAACTTAATGCTCTCCCCCCACCCCCTCTTATTGCTTGACCACAACCTCTGATTGCTCACCGTAATGCTCCATCCCAATTGATTCATCTCCACACCACCGCTCCGCCCCCTCATTAATATGCCTCAACAGCCGTGATCAGCAGCTCAGACATGCAAGAGATTCCTTTGCACCCAGTAACTGAAACAACCCACACAAAGAGCCCCTCAATGAATGTCCTCCTGCCTGCCCTGCATGCCTCCTCCTCCACTGCCATACCCTTGTGCCACCTGCAGTAATGCATCTCATTAATCCGCGACAACGACGCTGTTGCGGTAAATGATGCAACCATGGCATCAAATTATGAGCAAAACGCAGCGTAATCCACAGACGATGATGCATGTGACGCCTTGCTACTGCTACTGCTGGCTTTCCTTCTTCTTTACCAAGAGGATTTGTGCATTGATAGATAACCACCACCAGCGTTGGCTTCTTCCGGATTTATCATTTGGCTTGTCATAGATCGCACGTCATGATAATGAGCACGGTAATTATGGGCTAACTGAACTGGGGCCAGTGGATTAAGCAGTGATTAGTGTGAGATTGCGTGCCACTGCGTCTTAAATGTGTGTGTGCTTATGGCCCCCCTTCTTCCCTCTCTGCTGCTGCCCCCCCTTATTGTGCACTTTTGCTGTATAATCTGTGTTGATTACGACATGAAGTTGAGCTATGGATTAATCGGTCCCCACCAGGTTGCTTGACCGTGAGATTGGATTCAGCTTTTGAGGCTTCATTTATGGGCTCCATGTTCGTGTAACTTCCTTTGTTGCATGCAGTTTTCAAGGTTTGTGAAGTGCATTTTGGGGCCATTATGGTGATGATTTTTTAGGAAGATGGTGATAGAAAACAGTTCCTTTGGGGGGTAGCACTGTGATTGTGTATGTGGACTGTGGATGTGGATTGAAATTGTGTTTATGGAGGTTATTTCAATCTAAAAAAAAGGTCAAGGTTTGGAAGATGGGTTTGAAATTAGTTTAATAGTAGAAAGCAACTTGGCCTCATCAACTCATGCTTACTTTCCCAATCTTTGTATCTTTGTAATAGTGCAACCCTAGATTTATTACTTTTTCTTGGTATTTCTATAACAACATGTGAAAAGAAATTTGATAATAAAACTAGTTTTGTATTAAAGAAAGGAACCATCTATCCTTGAATAGTTCAAAGAAATTGTTAACAATCTAATAACATTAGACAAGAATATCATGTAAATATATATATATATATATATATTCAAGCTGTTTATTATTGGTGAATTATTTTACAGAATTTAGAAGCAATGCAATGTGAAGATCTTAAAAGAAAAAAATAAAATTTTCACAAAAATAAAAATGGAATTAAAAAATATACAGAATCGTCTCATGGATTAAAATAGGAATTATTAAAAAGTCAAAAAAATCCATTACTCTTTCAATTTCCAAATCTAATTTTATTCTAAATCTATAAAATTAAATTCATTTAAAAAAATTTAAATTTTAAAGATATAAATATTATAATTTCATTTATGACTAATAAAAGAAAAAATTATTATTATTATTATTATTATTGTAAAAGCTAATAAATGAATGAAATAAGAATATTATTTTTTTATTTTTTTACTTCATGTTAAAAATTGTAGCTATTTACTTTTAAGTCTAGTTTTTAAATTTTATTTGATATACATATATGTATATATATTAATAACTTCTTTTTACTATATATATATATATAATCATGTTGATGTTTCACAAATTTTGGTGTTAAAACTTGATGTCATGTCTAAATTGTGCCAAAAAAAATATATAATTAATTAGAAAAGACAAAAACTCAGTGAATTTGATAGGTTCTTATTTTTCAGTGTATAAATTAGTATATTTTTAAATTAAATTTGTAAATATTTATTTCATTAGAAAAATCGTCAAATTGATTTTACTACTTTTATTTATTTATTACTTTCAATCAAATAAACTTGTAATTGTTTCTAATATGTGTAGACATTATGCACATGTCTTAAAAATATAGAAATGTATACAAGATATACATATTCATTTTAAAATTGGATCTATGATTATTATTATTATTATTGTTATTGTGTATGTATACAATTCAAAACAATGCCATTTCAAATACTTGGGTTTTCAATGAATAATTTATGCTTTGTATTTGAAGTTTTTTCAAAAGCACTTAGTAAACTGAATTTGTTAGAAAGTGTGTTCAATTCTTTGTTGCTCAATTATATGTTTACAGTCAAAAAATGAAACAGATTTTTTGAATGTATTTATGCTTTGTTAAGGAATGAT